CCGGGGCTCCGCAGGAGCACGCGGAGGTTATTGTCTTAGTGCAGGGCACTTATTTGCGACGCGGTCGTGCTTGGGCAGCGTGACTAATAATTGTCGGGGGGCAGGGCGCTCCAGGCTTCCTCCGCAACTTTTCCGAGCGTCGCGTCGCCCTGGTGTTTGGGGACACCCAGGAAGAGGCGTCTCTGGAGCCCAGCCTGGGACTGGAGAGCGAACCAACCAACCTGCCGCCGCACCTACCCTGTCTCCAAGGTCACTGACAAGCCACTCGGCAGCCAGAAGCCTCGTTGACCTTTCCGGGTGACTCCGCTGTCAGTTCTAAAGCCCACACAGAAGAGGCTGGAAGGAAACACAGCGGTGTTTTCACTCGTGGGGTGGATCCAGGGTTTTCTGTTTTCTTCTTTTCTGGTGGTGTGTGTAAGTTTGCTCTCATGCACACTGTGTGGCTTTTGAAATGAAAAAGACAGGCTAGTCTAAAATGACATATCAGTGAGACGCCTGTGGAATTTTGGCAGCAGCAACACTGCAGCTTAAAGCCGCCCTTAAAAAAAAAAAAAAAAAAAAAAAAGCCAAGCAAGGCCGTCAATTTCTGGGGCTAGAGCAGGCTCCTCCTCTCGGGTTCCGCTCGGCCCGCCCCTCTAGGCCCGCCCCCCGCCAGGCTTTACTCCGGTACCGCCCTCTGTTCCTGCAGTTGCCACTAAAACACGGAATGATGGATTTTTACACAGCGACGCTCCCGGTGGCTCTTGCAGGTAGCGTGGGCATGTCCCGCCGCGGTGTCTGGGATTGCTGTCTAGGAGAGAGGAGGCTCTAATCTAGTCCCTGTTTCGTTCTATTGCGGTCGGTCCCGAGCAAAGGTACAAAATAGCGCCTCCGACTCCTTACCCGCAGCTCGGACCCGCAGAAGTGGGTCAGGACCCGACTGAGCATGCTCCGGGCAGTGCCAAGCTGCCGCACGCGGCTGCATCAGGTTGCCCAAGATTAATGTAGCCGCGGTCACGCCTCACGACATCGAAGGTCAGGAGACGCGTGCGAGAGGTGCGAGATAACCTCGACACGTGGACTGATCGCCCCTGCCAAGGGCTGGTGGGATCAGGCTTAAAGGGAATCAAAGCCCGATGTTCCCCTGTAAGACTGAAATGAAAAGTCGTATTTTAACATTAGTGTCATCGCATCGCGAATAACAATTCATGTTGGGCGCTAAGCACTTTTAAGCTCATCTTAAAAGATTTAAGAAACCAAGTGTGTGATAAGCATTCTTTACTATTACAGAAAACACTGCATTTCAAGCTATTTTAAAAAGACTAAATTTTTGCTCTCTCACATTTCCACAGTATTATACTCCCTTTTGTTTCTCTAGGCATTTCTCATTCACCGTCAAACTCTGATTTCTACCTCTTTCAAATTCTCAGAGGGTGTGCAGAATGCTCCAGTGCTTTGGAAGCTACATTTGAGGCAGGTGTGGGGAATTTGCTTTAATTCCTCTGTCGCAGACACTGAAATGGAGAAAAGTTACACGAAGGGATTGTAGAGACTTCATATTAAGATAGTCGAGAAGTCCCTGTTTCCATTCTATTGTGGCCTGTCCCGAGCAAAGGTACATACATAATAGGGCCAGGCAATTGAGTGGTGTACTTGTGTGTTTTCAGAGAAGGAGGAAAGAGGATGGTGGATGAGCTGCCCAGTGAGATTCGATGCCATGTGGGAAATAACCTCAGTGGGATTTGTCTTCTTCTAGTCCCTCCTTTTCTCCAACCCCAAAAGGCTTTCACATGACTGGGGAAGCCATCTTTAGTGGAATGTTGCTGCTGGGAAGAATCACTTTACTAAAGTAACTTCCTTCTCAGCTCTTAACTTGCACAGGGTCACCCTCAGCTATGCACATCACAAATACGGATGTTCTCATAGACTCACGTGCCTGCATATCTGCTCTCATCTCGCTAGTCATTGATACTGTCCACCCTGCCTTGAATATCTCTGAATACAGACCCTTCACTTGCATGGACACGTCATGTCCCTCTCACCATAGAGCTATAAACTCCATTCCTCCCCAGACTTTTATTTTTAAGCAAATTATATTGCAATGGATTTGCTAAAAATCCTCAAGTGGATTCATAACGACTTCAGGATGGAGTCTAAGTCTTTCTCTCTGGTTTAGTCTCAGTGTCCAGCCAATCTCAGTTACCTACAACCAAGTAAGTTCATGCCTCCAAGCTTCTTTAGTTTTTTTGTCTTTCTTCTTGATGATTTCTTGGCGACCCTGTTTAGACTCCCTACCTTCCCAAGGTGACTTCCTCCTGAATACTTTGAGACCTAACTGATTCATTTTGCTTCATCTCTGTTAGCTTATAAGAACGTGAGAGCAAGGGTTTGTCTCAACCATCTTTGTATCTTTGTTCATTGTCCACAATAAAATTTTGCTTAATAAATGAATGATAAACAGATGTACCCATAGAATATTTAAAATTCATGAATTTTTAAAATTCTTCTTGAGAATTGTAAATAGAATGCAAAGAAAAAAAAAGGACAAAGGCATCATTTACAAGCTGCTGAGTGAATATGGAATATGTTCCTTGAGTAATATAAGCAAGGTCTCAGACTTGACCTTAAACCCAGTGGATTTTCTTTAGCTTTAGAAACCAGGAAGTATTTTGTCAGCTAGTCTGATATTACACGGATTTACTTTATCAGTCTGTAACTGCACAAAATACAGCGTTGGATTGCATTGTTTTCTGCATTGTGTTTACTTCTATGCTATAGTTCTAATCTTCTAATGATGTGGTTACTCCTTAGAATAGATTTTGTCTATTTTTATGTTGCAAGTTTGGCATCCCAAGAGGGCAGGTTAACTATTTAAGGGTAAAAAATTTTTTTTTAAAATATATAGTTCTATCAGTTCACATTGGTTTAGGATTAACTGTGAAGACCACTTGGAGTTGACTTGCATGAAATAGGGTTATCTCTGAAAGCACTCAAGGTTAAGTATGAAGGGACTTATCTACTTCATAATCACTCCAGACTTCCTCAGCAGGGTGGTCCATCCAGCAATTTTAAGCCCTCCAGGTAAACCTACATTCTATATTTGAGAGACATACTGCTAAGTCATATAGATAAAAAGAAAAATAACTGTTAACCCAGAGAACTTTGAGGAGCCCCAGGTTGGTTTTTGGCAGAGGTATGTATGTGGGTGGTTGGTTTTATTCATGTTTGGGTTTATTAAACAGTCTTGGCTTACATTATGGTCACCATTAATATTCAGAACCCCATTTAAAAGAGGTAGGGCAGCTAGAAAGAGCAAGCCTAGACATTCATAAGCCAGCAAACTGCAGTACCTGGAATGTTTTGCACCTCCCACAAAGAATGGAGCCATTTCCCCCTCCTGTGGGTGAACACACTCTTCAATTTACCCCTCTTTTGTTGTTTTGTTTGGAAATAAATCCTTTTTGTTGTTAGAATAACTGATTGCTTTTGTTTAAGGTCAACCTTAAAGAAGCTAGGGAAAGTTGCAAGGTAGCTGCTTACTTTTCTATTTGTGGAAACACTCAAGGGTTTTACTTGGTGACCCAAGTAAATATAGAACCATATCTTCATATTTCCCTGATTTTGGATTCATGCATGCAACCTACTAGATCTCTTAACTGCTGGGGCCCTAAGGAGACTTGAACCCAGGGTGTCCTAAACAGAATTCAAGAGCTGTATTTGCTTCTCTGCTGCTTATTATTCTGCATCACCTCTTTTCTAAATTCGGCCTCCTTTGACAGAGGGTGACTGGGAAAGGGAAGTTTTGACTTAGTCCCTTCCTGGTAGAGCACAATAGCAGGTATATGACCTGACACATGAATGCTTTCCCTTGTTCCTGGGACTCTAAAAGATGGAGGAAGGGGGATAGAGTATGGAAGGAAACAAACACTTCTCTCTGTCTCGTGACTTGCTGGCCAAGGAGCAGGAAGCATCTTGAAAAGTCTGAGTCAGTATTAGGAAGTATTTTCTTCCTTATTGTGCGTGTAAACTGAACACAGATGTTGGTCCTATGGAGGTATGTGTCCTACATGGGTGGTCTTTCCGGTTAGTCAGCTGTAAAAACCAGAATGAGTGGCTGCCTGCAACTCCCAAGGGGCAGAAGATTTGACAGGAAGAGTCAGACAACTTTCCTTGCTCTCCCTTGAGACCACACCGAAGCCCAGTCCCCAAGGGCAATTTGCAGACGGGGAATTAATGGCCATCACAGCTGAGGCTCCCACCAGACCTCCTGGCTTCTTTCCAGACAATGCTCAGATTTGCTGTTGTAATGACTCACTGGAGGACTACTTCTTCCCAGTGACTCAGGATATAAATTATTGGCAGGAGAAGGGATGAGGCCTGGAATCCACTCCTTTGGGAAGGGGTTCCTGAAAGGTGGGTGGGCATTTGCAGAGAAGATTTAGAAGAGGGAGGCTGATTAGGGTGCTGGGCTAAAAGCAGAAGGGGACCTCTTCATCAAAAAGGGTATTTTCCTCTTAAATTATAGGAAAGTTATAGGCTGCAATAGCTTTGTTCTTCTAGATTATAATTTCCTTGGGAAGGAGGGAAGGATCAGTGTCTACTTTCTCAGCAAAGGATGGAGAAGGTCAAGGTTGGATGATCCGTATAATCAAACTGACCAATCACTCATTGACAAATAGAAAAACAAACATCCAAATCAATCAACATGTTCTCTACAACGACAATCCTTTGTCCTGAGACTTGACAGGGAGTCCGCAGCACCTGGGTTCCCTGTAACCTCGGCAGGAATTTCTTGATTTTATTGCTTCTGTTTGATAAATCCAAAGATAAACTCAGAAAGTTGAATTGTAATCATGTTGGTGACTTTTATATCTCTCTATACAAGGAAATTCGATATTTTCTCATTGGATAAATATGACACCAGATGGGGGTTCCTGTGAAGGCAAAGGCTGGAAGGAGTCCCCACGCTGTGGTCAGAGTAGGGAGGACAGAAGCCCAGGTGGTTGACAAAGGAGTCCAACAAGCTGTTTGGGAGAACTTAGGGGATTTATGGAAGCAATCCTGGAGAGAAGAAGGTACTAGCCCAGTAGTTAGGGAGAAAGAGCTGGTTTTCATTTGCAGGACACTGCAATTTCCAGGACACTGGACAGTGAAGAAGTCCTGCTTGATAAGAATGTTGGCTTCCTTTCTCAGCTCTCCCTTCCCTTCTGCCTGGACAGAATAGTGGGGAGCTGCTGGTGAAAGCCCCAGCCCTGCCTGAAACGCCCCATGGTGGTGACCAGAAGGCCCTGGATTGTCACCTTGGCAAAGGGTTGTGAAGTCCCTGAAATTTACTTTTGAGGATGTTACTATTGTGCTTGAGCCAACCCTAGCTTAGGAAGGAAGTTTCCTAACCAGCTGAGATACTTCTCCTGACCACACATGACTCAGTCCGAATGTGCTAACCTTCAGTAAGATCCCTGTCCTCCTTCCCAAGTAATAAATATGGTTTCCACTGGCAGTCTCAGTAGTGCTGTTTGGCTTTTTCTCTCTCACGGTGTGTTCCGTCCCTCGTGGGTGGTATGTGGTGGTGACATCATTGCGGTTATCCAGGTGAGAGAACACCCTTCCTCAGTGGCACCTGCTTTTCAGGCACCTGCTTTTCTGCAGCTTCTCTTCAGTAATCTTTTCAATAGAAGGTAATATAAGTTTGGCACATACTTGGTTCAGTAAATTTTGTTGACTTACGTGCTGGAAATTGGTCTAAAACCATGCTGGGGTATTTTGGGTGTGTGCATTTTAAAATACAAATACCGCCCATTATTGGGTTGGTCTAAATGCCATTCAGATTGTGGTATTGATTCTGCTTTTCTTCCTGAGGAAGTGTTTCACATCTGTTACCAGAATGTTTCCTCCCTGATCTGGGTCAGCTGGCAAAAAGGCTGGTAATAAATCCTGGCTGGTTGTCTGGCCGAGTTCAGGATACCTTTTGAAGGAGAATGTTTCTAAGGAATACTCAGTGACTGAATTTTTTAGCATTATGATCCATGGGCTTTCCATAATAGAGCATTTCTGCTGGTTATTATATACAGTAGAATTTTTCACTATTGATTTCAGCAGGGAAAAAGTTGCTTTCATAGAAACTTTAAGGTGTCTTGAAATATACTAGCCCTCAAACTCAAGTCATGTTGCCATTGCATTTCCAAAGGAAAGAGACCAGTTTCCTTCTAGTGAATAGAAATTAGGATTTGGTGCTGAAAAATATTGAACTTAGGA